GCTTTTCAAGCTGGGGCACCCACAATCACTTGGTTTCTGTAATCAAAGATGGTCTTGCCTGGGGTTGTCAACCTTTTTCTGTAAGTGGTCGCAGGGCAAATATTCTAAGCTTTGTGGCCGTCTGGTCTCAGCTGTTCAGTTCTGCCCTGGTGCCCCCAAAGCCGCCATATGCAGTAGGTGAGTGAGTGGATGTGGCCGTGTTCCGACGAACCTTTATTTGCAAAACAGTCAGTTGGGCCAGATGCAGCTCATGGGCTGGAGGTGGCTAACGCCTGGTTTAGACCATTGCTGTGTGACTTTTGATAACATCCTTAGCTTCTCTGCATTCTCTGTGTGCCTGTGGTGAGCAGATAACTTTGAGCCAGTTGACAACAGATCATCAAGGTCGTGGGAAGGGCCATTTATTAAAAATACAGAGACAGTTGTAGCAGAGCGTATCAGTCAGCTGTTGCCGCATAACAACCGTGCCAGACTTCATGGCATTACAACAGCAACTGTTTCACTGTTTCTCATTGGTCTGTGCTTCGGCTGGATGAGGGTTCTGGTCTGGGCTCTCTGGTGTGTCGGGGGCCACCCAGTAGGTCACCGGTGCTGGATGATTGAAGATGAACTTTTGCACATGTGTGGCAGGTGGTTGGCCATTGGCTGGCTGTCTCAGTCTCTGGTACATGGTGGTCTTAGCATAGCAAGAGGGGGTCGCAGAGCTCACACAGGGTCACCTCCATCACATGATGTTGGCCCCAGGAGGAGGCACAAACCCAGCCCCGATTTCAGAGCGGGAAAATAGGCTCACCTTTGTAACAAGAGAAGTTGCAAAGAGGTGATGGCTGTTTGCTCAGTAGCCGGGGGTCTGACTTTACTCCCCTGTGCCTGACTCCTCAGTGAAAAATTGAGGCTGGTGACCCCCAGCCCCACAGGGCTGCTTGGGGGGCTTACATGAGCTCACTTAGACCCGCGTCTTGCATGAGAAAGTCCTCTCCGCGTGGGGGCTGGTATTAATGTGTCAGCGAACCCCACAGATGTGATAGCAGTGAGGGAGGAAAGATTCGAAGACGCCCAAGACCATCTGGAACGTGCCTTTCACGTACTTCCCCGAGGCCCGCCCCACTCACCCCAGACTCCGGGCCTGTGCCTGTCTGTTCCCCTGTCTGGAATCTGTCCAAGTCTTCCAAAGCCAACTCGCAATGCGGGCTCCTATTTATAGCCTTATCACAATGAATTAAAGGTTTTTTTTTTTTATGTTTATTTATTTTTGAGAGACAGTAAGAGAGCCGGGGAGGAGCAGAGAGAGAGAAGGAGACCGAGAATCCCAAGCAGGCTCTGAGCTGTCAGCGCAGAGCCCGATGTGGGGCTCAGACTCACAAACCATTGGGTCATAACCTGAGCCGGAGCGGGACGCTTCACCGACTGAGCCACCGAGGTGCCCGTGGGTTGGATTCTGCCATGAGTTGGTTGTCTGGACTCTGAGGCGTGTAAGGAACCTGAGGCTAGAAATGGTCACAGGCATGTCTGTCCATTCACGGATGTGTCTGTGCACCTGCGTGCACATCTGCGTAACCGCCCGGCCCGGGACTCACACGGGTCCCTGCAAAGACTTGGGCCCGCTGACTTACCTTCCGTTCTGTACCACTCCCACAGCCGCAACACGTGCGCGCGCGCACACACACACACACACACACGTGCACACGCGCTCCCTCCCACCCCAACCTCTCCTGTCTGGGAAATTCAGATTATTCAAAATACCATAAGGAGAAGTCCTTCATGCTATAATCGTGGTCACTCTTTTCACAGTTCATAAAACACGAGGCTTCACATTCACGTGCTCGTCTGTAGTCACAACGGCCAAGTGGGCGAAGGGCCCATCAGGCACACCACGGTCACAGGTGGAAAGAACCTGTCCTCTCACATCCATGGTGGAGGGAGGCAGCGGTCAAGCACGGGGCACCAGACGGATGTACTGCGGATTTCCATTCCCGCCGCATCAGGTTTGCCGCGTAGTGCCGAGCACGGGGAGTTGGATGTCACAAGCGATGAAACTGTTCGGAGAATCACCTCTAGGAATCAGATCCATGATGGGGCGCCTGGGTGGCCCGTCGGTTGAGCGTCTGACTCTTGACGTTGGCTCAGGTAGTGACGCTGGGCTCCGTGCTGGGCGTGCAGCCTGCTTGAGATTCTCCCTCTCCCTCTCCCTCCGCCCCTCCCCTGCTTGTGTGCCCGCACTCTCTCTCCCTCGACAGAAAAAATCAGGTCCGTACTGACTGATCTCTATGCCCCCTTTATCTGCCCACTTTTTACTTTTATTGAAAGAAACGTCAGGGCTCGTTTGCCTTAATCGCTGGGCTCTCCTGGCGGCCCCGGGTCAGGATGCGTTAAATCTCCTTGGGCGATTGGGGGACCCCCCCCTCCCCGGGCGACCCCACACTCTCCTTGGGCGGTGGCATTAAGCGCCCCACAGGGAACCTGGCTGGTGGGGCTGTTGTTTAGAAACTTAACGTGCAATAGCTTGTAGGTGCCATTTTGATATCCCGATGACAGCTGATGACATAACGATAGTAACGGTTAATGTCGACTGAACAAGTCGTGTGGACCGGCCACGGCGCCTGCTCAACCCAACACCTTCGAGGCATGCGCCAGACAGAAAACGGCTCACCAGGGCCGCGTACCCGTGGGTGTCGCATGCTTTTCCTGGTGAGACGAGCTCCACAAGTGCGTTCGTGGACTCCATCGCTCGACAGATTAGCGTCGGTGCCCCCGGCCCCCCGCGATCTCAGCCGCAGGCGTGCCAGCGAGACCCAGATTCGCCTCGCTCACCGCGACATCTCTCTTGTAATCTGCAAATATCGAAACTCCAGGCGGTGACTCGCTGAGATCACAGAGTCCATCGCAGAACCAGATCCCAACCCGCCGCCTGCTCCTGCCCACCCCCCCCCACCCCCCACCCCGGGTTGCCTCCGCCCGGGGCCTCTCTGATCCCACGGGCGCTGTAGCACAAGTACAGTTACCTGAGCAGTTTGCACTCAACGATGGCCTGGCTTAGCCACTCACGGTTGGGGAAAAGTTGATCAAGAAGAGTAAAACAAAATAAGTTTAAAGAAAAAAGAAAGGGAGGGAGGGAGGGAGGAAGGGAAAGAGGGGAAGGAAAGAGGGAAGAGGAAGGAGGGAAGGAAGGAAGGAGGGAGGAAGGACACCCCCCTCCCCAATGCCTGTGTTTGAGTCTCCCTGCCGAGCCCTGTGTAGGCAGAGCTAAAACCTTCAGTCAAAGTGAAAAGAAAATGTTCAGTTGTATGAAAAAGGACCGTGTTCCTTCCAACGTATATAATAAGAAGTGATAGGAAGAGAAATAAAACAGAATGAGGGGAGCGCTCTCCTGGCCGGGAGGTCACATGTACCGAGGCGTGAGGATGAGACGGGTCCAGGAAGATGGGGATACGGCCCTTTTTCGCAGCGGTCGGGGCCGCGGCCTTTGCCCCTGCTGTTGGTGTCCTGTGGGTGCGGTAATAAGTCCCCACCAATGGGGGGAGGGGGCTCAAAACAACGAGAATTCACTGTCTCCCGGTCCTGGAGGCCGGAGGTCCGAGATCAGGGCTGGCTGCTTCTGGGGGCGGATGCGGAACCTGCTCCCGGCTTCTGGTGGTTGCCAGCGATTCTTGGCGTTTCCCTGGCTGGTGGGCACATCGCTCCGATCTCTGCTCTGTCTTCACGTGACCTCCGTCTGTGTCCAAATTTCCTCCTCTTACAAAGACCCCAGTCGGCGGGTGAGGGCCTGCCCCAGCGCATGACCTCATTTGAACTCGGTCACCCTTTTGGCGAGTAACGTCACATTCACGGGTGCCAGGGGGCCGGAGAGCCACATACCGTCTTTTTGGGGGGCAGGGACGCCCTTTGCCTCCACATCCCTCACCAGTGCCCTTTCCTCCCTCACAGTGCCACACTCGAATGCCGCTGCTGCCGTGGGGTTTGGAGATGTCAGGCACCCCGCGCTGTGCCGCCGGCCGCCGGGGCCGCAGTGGCTTACGACCGACCAGCGCCTGGGGGACAGTGTGTGCGGGGCTAGCTGCTGGTACCGCGCCCGTGTTGGTGCAACCAGAGTCCCGTGGGGAGGGAAGGCCAATCTGCCGGGGGCGAGCAGGGCCGCGGCCACGTCCTGCTGAGGCAGATGACACAGCCCAGGGCACGGCACCGGTCTCTGCAGGCCTGGGGGTGACAAGGGGGTGGGGGAGGATGAGGAGGACGAGGCCTGAGCCTCTGCGCTTGCCGGTGAAGCAGCCTTGGCGGGTCAGGTGGCCAGGGCAGGAGCAGAGCTTCGAGAAGGGCCTGGGCCGCTGCTTCCGCACGTGTCTGGTGGCATATGGACCCGGATGCTTCACGCGGGTCGGACTTCGGCTCAGGCCGTGATCTCGCGGTCTGTCGGTTCGAGCCCCACGTCGGGCTCTGTGCTGACGGCTCGGAGCCTGGAACCTGCTTCCGATTCTGTGTCTCCCTCTCTCTCTGACCCTCCCCTGTTCATGCTCTCTCTCTCTCTCTCTCTCTCTCTCTCTTAAAACTAAAACATTAAGAAATATTTTGAGGGGCGCCTGGGAGGCTCAGTCAGTTGAGCGTCCCACTTCAGCTCAGGTCATGATCTCACGGTCTGTCGGTTCGAGCCCCATGTCGGGCTCTGTGCTGACGGCTCGGAGCCTGGAACCTGCTTCGGATTCTGCGTCTCCCTCTCTCTCTGCCCCTCCCCTGCTCGTGCGTGCGCTCTCTTTCTCTGTCTCTCAAAAATAAATAAACATTAAAAAAATTTAAACAAAGAATTTTGAAAGCCCACTAGTTCCGGAAACTGCCCTCAGCACCCAGACAGTGACTTGACCCGGGGTCGGGGGGACCCCACTCTGGGCTGGGGGAGGGGCGACTGCACAGCCGTGAGCTCAGAGCCCACATCCACCCTGATGCAGCACCTGCCCCGCCGTCGGGCGCCTCGCAAACGCTCGAATCACCCTGTCATGTCTCCCGCAGCCCGTCCAGGCCGCGCTCAACACGATGGTCGTGCCCCTCGTCTGCGACTACGGCTCGGGCTTCAGCAAGGTGGGCTTTGCGGGCATGGAAACCCCCCTGGCCGTGTTCCCCACCCTCCTCGGGAAACTTCGACACGACGTGAGTTGCTCTGACCGTCATTGTGCCCAGGGCTGCCGGGGGCGCGGGCGACGCGTCTGAGGCGCTGTGTTTGGCTCCCCTGGGCCTGTTCTCAGGACTGGATTTGCTGGTCCATCTGGTGATTGATTCTGTGTGTAAGAAATTCAGGTTTTTGCGTCGAGATCTCAAGGAGAACTCACTTTTCTGCAAACCCCACACAGACCAAACAAGTCACGTGCCGGCCAGAGGCACCTCTTCCTGAACCTTCCCCGGGGGCAGCAGATAGGACATAGGACGTGCTCCAGCTCGGCGGGCCAGACCTGCGTGTCCTTTGCAAGGTGGCCACTCCCCCCTCCACCCCTGCCCCCCTCCAGCCACCGAGGGCCCTGCCACGTCCTGGAACTTCTCCCACTCGAAGCAGCTGTGAGACGCTCAGTTCACATAACGACTGTAACTCGCTGAGTTGACATGAGCCCGGTGGCCCGACCGGGGAGTTGCCGTGGGGCCCTTCTCCCTGAAGAGGGGCCGGCATCTCTGAGAGGAAACGTGCTCATGTCCCTGTGTGAGCGAGCAGTAGAGGCAGGACCCCCCCACCACCTGCCTTCAAGGCCCCGGTGCTGAGTCACCGCGCTCCTCCCTGGGAAGCCTACCCATCCGTGAGAGGGGGCACCTTGGTCACATGGGGAGCCCCACGTGTCCGGGTCCCGGGGTGATTACGCCTGGGCTCTGCATCACTTGGAGCAAATCAATGGTGATGTTTCTAGCAGGCCGCTGGAATTTTAAGACCAGCCTTCCTACCGGGGCGTGCTGGGGGGCAGAAAGCCAGAGAGTCCCTGCCCTTCCCTAGGTGGGTCATGGCAGGTGCCTGCGCCCTCGCTGGCTGGCCGGCCCGTTTTTTCGAGATCGCAGGGCTTAGCGGTGAAGCGTGGGGGGCTGCGGGGTCAGGAGACCCACATCCGAACGCCGGCCCTGCCTCCGCACTTGCGTCACTGGGGGCAAGTTGCCTTTGGGGGTCCGACTCCCCGTGCACAGGGAGGGGTGAACGAACACACACGGGCCACATCCGGGGGAAGCTTCAGTGAGGCGGTGCCCGAATGCCTGGCCCGGAGTCTGGCCCCTCGCGGTGTGGAAGGGGGACGGAGATGTTGCTCAGGGTGCTGGCGGTGAGGAACGTGAGTGTCCTGCTTGGGGCGCCCATGACCGGTGACCACGGACCTATTGTGTCCCAGCTCTGGAGGCCGGAGGTCCTAAATCAGGTGTGAGCAGGGCTGAGCTCCCTCCGCCGGTGCTGAGGGACCATCCTTCCTTCTCCTCCAGCTGTCGGGGCTCCGGGCACCCCTGGGCTCATGGCTATGCCTCTCCAGCCTCCGCTCTGTCTCTTATACGGACACTTGTCACTGGATTTAGCCCTCTGTCCCCCAATAATCCAGGATGATCCCACCTCAATATCTTTAAATTTAAAAAAAAATTTTTTTTAAGGTTTATTCATTTTTCAGAGACAGAGAGAGGGAGAGCATGAGTAAGGGAGGGGCAGAGAGAGAGAGAGGGAGACACAGAATCCGAAGCAGGCTCCAGGCTCCCAGCTGTCAGCACAGAGCCCAACGCGGGGCTCGAACTCACAGATCCTGAGATCATGACCTGAGCTGAAGTCGGACGCTCAACCGACTGAGCCCCCCAGGCGCCCCTCAATACCCTTAAACTAATCACATCTGCAAAGACCTTGCTTCCAAATACAGTCACATCCACATAGGTTCCGGGGCTTAGATGTGGACACATCTTTTGGGGGCCACCCTTCAACCCACTACAGCTGGGTTCTGCCTATTGTCCGTGGGCCCCGACATCATCCTGCTGTGCGGTTCTCGGGCTGGGACGCCCCTATCACCGGCTCCCCGTGGAGGCAGATTGGGAGGTAGAGGGAGGAGGCGGGCCTTCCTTTCCGTGTTCCTGCCCTGTTCTGCCCTGTGTCCTGCCCTCTCACAGCTCCCCGTGGCCCACCAGCGGCCCTGGGGCTGTACTCTCCGGGCTCCCTCCGTGTTCCCTGCCGGCTCTTTCAAACTCCCAACGTTGCGTAACCGTTGCCCCGCATCCAGTCCTTCGAGAATCTGTTTTGAAATCCTTGGCATGGCACCTGTCGTCCCAGCAGGTGCAATAATTCGTCCTGCAATGTGAAAGCTCCCACCGCCCCAGGGGAGGGACAGATCCCTGTTAGCTGTGCAGAGAGTGGGACAGTGGGGAGCAGGATTGTAGGTAAAACGAGTTACATTCGCAATAAAGCAAAAAAATCACAGGGAGAGAGGTCAAATTCCTCGCCAAAATAGAGACGAGTGGCCATAATGAATTACAGGAAACGGTGGAACTGAGCCGGGAGCACTGTTTCGGTGAGGCGCTGGGCCGCCGCCCTCCCCGCCCTCGGGGCCAGCCCCGGGCAGCAGGAGGGACGCTTCTCTGTCCAAGAGGAGTCAGCACCTGCCGGGATGCTCTGCATGGGCTCACATTTCGCTCCAGATACGAGCCCCGCGGCCCCTCCGTGCTCTTGGGTCTGGCGGCGAGCCGACAGTGAGAGCCCTGGCGGGAGGCCCCGCGCCCCGGAGGGGCACTCGGTCCACGGCCACCGGAGCGGCCGCTGAGACCCCAGCCCCGTCCAGCCGGGCATTTCAAGCAGCGGCTTCAGACCCCGTGACGCGCTCGTCCCCGCCCCGCAGGCATCCCTCGCCCCGCTCCCCTCGCTCGGGAAGGTTTGGCCAAGCCAGAAGCTTCCGAGGCAGGGCAGCGTGGACTGTCCACACCCGCGTGTCCCCTCGGGTGATGAAGTGCGTTCCCATCGGCGGTCTCTCTGACTTGCTCCCCAACGGCGCCGCGGCAAGGAAGGCGGAATGGGAGACGTTCCATCCGACGGGGACGGGGTGCGGCGCGGAGAAGGCGAGCGGCTTGCCGGGGTCTCGGATTGTCCCCCAGCCCAAACCCCTCCGCCTGGAGAGAAATTCCTCAGGCAAAAGAGCTCTGCGCGCGTGAGCCGTGGTAGCCTCAAGAGCGGGCCTCTCTGAAATCCACGCCGCCACCGCGGCCTGGCATCCCCGTGGCACAACGGCTGCGTGACAACAAGGCCACGCTTCCTACAGACTGCTGAGCACGGCAGGGATCCCCAGACAGACCCGTTTCGGGAAACACGCGCCTCCCTTCCCGGACGACCGGCTCAGGAGCTGCCCGGTGGCCTCGCCGACCACCCGCCGTTCCAGGACACCCATCCAGCCCTCCGTCCCGTACCCAGGCTCGGGCTTGGACCACAGCCTGGTCGGGCGCCCCCGTCTTCTCTCACGTAGGTGGGTTCCTAGCGAGACCCTCACGCTTTTCGTGCTCTGTTGGTGTCTGCTTTTTGGCAGATGCAGATTTACACACGGACCAACCGGCAAATCCCTTCTGGATGACGGAATAAACGGTTCGCCCTGCCACAAAAGCAGTTAGGTCCGTCTTCTTAAGGGATGACAAACTCAATTCGCCTGCAGACCCTTCCCCCGGCGGGTTTCCAGGGTGAATGCAGCAGCCGGTGCCCCTGCCCGACACCGGCTCCCCCCCCACCCCCGTTCCCCTCGGGTTTCCCACCCGCAAAGTGGACAAGGCCAGTGTCCTCAAGAACACTTTTTTTTAAACGACTTTTCTTTTTTTTTTCTTTTCTTTTTTAACGTTTATTTACTATCGAGAGACAGAGAGACACAGAGCGTGAGCAGGGGTGGGGCAGAGAGAGAGAGAGAGAGAGAGGGAGACACAGAATCCGAAGCAGGTTCCAGGCTCCGAGCCGTCAGCACCGAGCCCGACGCGGGGCTCGAACCCACGAACCGTGAGATCACGACCTGAGCCGAGGTCAGACGCTTCACCGACTGAGCCGCCCAGGCGCCCCTGGGGGCACTTTGACCTTGCAGGTCATTTTGCTAAAACGTCTTAGTGGCATCTTGAAATGGCATGCAAGCTTGAGGAGGCCACCACCGCCAGCGCCGTGACCTGGAGCGGCCCCCAGCTGCACGTCACTGCTCCTCGTCATTCCTCCTTGTGCATCAGCACGTGGAAGCCGAGTGGAGGGGAGTCACCCTCGAGAGCTGACCTGTCCTGGCCTGTGTCTTTCAGAATCCGCTGGTGGGGATGGGTGAGGAGGACTGGTTCCTCGGAGACGAGGCTCAGCATAAGCGAGGGGAACTTAGCCTACAATATCCCATCTCCCGGGCAACCGTCACGAACTGGGCCAACATGGAGAAGGTAGGCTGCAGCTCCTGCTGGGGTGGGACCTGTCCACGGGGCCCCTACTGACGTTCGGGGGGCATATCTGCTCCCTGGCACTGGCGAGGGGGAGGTGCCCTGGCATTCGGGCCTCTCTGGGCCTCTGTCTGGTCCCTGTGGACGCTACAGCACGCTACGAACCACACGGGTCGTGGGGTCTGAGACCCGAGCCTGAATCCTGTCTCCACGACTTACCATGTGTGTCATTTTGGACGAGTAACCAGCCTCCCTGGTCCTCTGTTTCCTTACCTGTAAGAAAGGGGTGTAATTTTTTCTTGCGTGTAGTGCTGTTGTATGGACTCGAGGAAATGGATAAAAAGTCCTTAATCCACTCCACGCCTGTTTAAAGCAACAAGCAGAAAAACGGGAGATGACAAGCTTTGGCCTTGGGACCTCACGCAGGGCTGGTGGGAACGTAAAATGGTGCAGCCACTCGGATCGCGGTACGGAGGTTCCAAAACATGAAAGAATCGAAGACAAGGGCAGGAAGAGACATCTGCACACCCACATTCACTACGGCCAAGGTGTCCATCGGCAGATGGATGGATAAACAGAATGTGCTGCACACGTGACGGACTGTCACTCCGCCTTGAAAAGGAAGGATGTTCCGACACCTGCTTCAACCCGGCTGGACCTTAAGGACATGAGGCTGAGTGAAATCAGCCAGGCAGAAAAAGACAAAAACTGTGTGATTCCACCCATATGAGGACTCTTAGTCGTCAGATTCGTGGAAACAGAAAGGTGGACGGCGGGCACCGGGGGGCTGGGGGATGGGGAATGGGGAGTTAGTGTTTAACGGGGACAGAGTTCTGGTTGAGGACGGTAAAAGATTTCTGGAGACGGATGGTGTTCAAGGTTGCACAGCAGTGTGAATATACTTACTGCCACTGAGCTGTGCGCTTTTTAAAAAGGTTGAATTCGTATGTACGTTTTACCATAAGAAAAAAATTCCGTAGGTCAGTGCAATACAGACGGATTCAATACAGCTATTTGAACCACTCTGTCTTAGCAACCGAAGGTTCTGATCAGGGTCTCCATATATGGCTGAAATTTGCACGCTGCCTAGGAAGACCTATTAATTATCTACGCTGCATAACAAATCACCCCAAAACTTAGAAGCTTAAAACACCGATGGCCATCTACTTCCTCTCACGGTTTTTGTGGGTCAAGAGTTTGGGAGCAGCTCAGCTGGGTGGTTCTGGCTTGGGGTCTCTCATGGAGCAGCAGTCAGGAGTCAGCTGGGGGTGCATCATCTGAAGGTTCGACCGGGGCTGGAGCAGGCATGTCCATGGTGGTGCTCCATGGGGCTGGCAAGGTGGTCCTTCTTGGGGACTTTCTGCAGGCACCCTGGAATGCCCTCCCAGCATGGTGGTTGACTTCCCCTGGAGGAAACAATCAAGGCGGCCAACGTGAAGGCTGCGATGGCTTTATGATGTAGCCCTACGGGCCACACACGCCTTCACTGTTGGTATATTCTGTGGGTTGCACGAGCCAGTCCTGGTTCAGCGGGGGAAAAGTCTGCACAGGGTGTGGATGTCAGGAGGTGTGTGTTCATTGGGGTCGTCTTGACGGGGTTGTGGGAGTGTCGCTCACAGACACTTCCTGTCTGCACGGCTGAAGTGTTGGCTCTGATTCTGGCTGTAGCCCTCCGTTAGGATGTCACAGGGAATACAGAAACTGAAGCGGTGTAGACAGGTCTTTGGAGTGTGCCGCCCACGAGCCCCTGGGCCCCGGGCTGCCTGGGCCGTAGCCTCCACCCTCCCCTCCCCTCTCTGGTGCAGGCTCAGCTGCCTGGCTGACCCAGTGGAGCCGACTTCTGGTGTCTCTTCAGCTGGTTCCAATTCTTGGTTCAACGCTTGTCCAAATACCAGGATCATTGCAACGATCCTCCCCCATGGTACCCCTCCTCCTACCTCACACCCCCCCCCCCACATTCACCCCCACACAGCCTGTCGAGTGACTCTTCTACATCTGATCGTGTCACTTCCCTGCTCCAGTCCATAGTGGGTGGACATCCAGCTGCGAGCCCACCCATCTGGCCTTTGTGTTTCATGGGCGCCATGTTGCCGTGTGTTTCTGCATCCCCCCTTCCTGAAACCCTTCCTCCACTGAATTTCCCCTCACTTCTGTTTTCAGTTCCCCATGGAGCCTCCTCCCCAGAGGCAGGCAGGAGCATTATTCATTGCTTGTTGAGCACCTACTGTGCACCAAGCACTCGGTAGGTGCTGTGGCTTGAGTCGTGTCCCCCAGTTTCTTATGTTGGAGTCCTGCCCCTGAGCACCTCAGAACATGACCGTATCTGGAGATGGGGTATTTAAAGAGGTGACCAAGGGGTGCCTGGGTGGCTCAGTTGGTGAAGCACTCAACTTCAGCTCAGGCCATGATCTCGCGGTTCGTGGGTTCGAGCCCCGTGTCGGGCTCTGTGCCAGCAGCTTGGAGCCTGGAGCCTGCTTCGGATTCTGTGTCTCCCTCTCCCCCACTTCTTCAAAGGGGTCACTGGGGTGGGCCCTGATCCCATGTGACCGGGGTCCTTGTAAGAAGAGGGGATCAAGACACAGACACTCACAGAGGGACAACCCCGTGAGGACACAGGGAGAGGATGGCCATCCACACACAAGGAAAGAGGCCTTGGGAGGCCCCGGCCCTGCCCACGCCTGGACTTCGGGCTCCGGCCTCCAGGACCAGGAGGTGTTGTTTAAGTCACTTGGGCTGTGGTCTTTGTTACGGCGGCCACAGGAAACAAATATGCTCGGTTTTCTACAAACGTTGTGCCAGACCCTCTACGATGTCCTCATGACCCTCTCCAAGGAAGGGAAATTTTTCCATTTTATAGACGAGGAAACAGCACATAAGAGTCAAGTTCCTTTTCTAGGCCCACGCCTGGTGCCACGCTCCCCCCACTGTGTCTCGGGGCCCATGTCTGCTGCCCAGTCAGACGAGGACTAGGCCTCACACATCGTAGTCTGCTCCCCGTCCCGACTCCAGGCCCGGCACACACATGGAGCTTCTGTGTCTTGTCTTGTCTGCAGCCGCTCTGTCCTTCCTGCTGTGAATCACATAAGCTACTGCGGAAGCCACTTTGCAGGGCAGACAGGTTCCATCCCACTTCCAGAAGATCGGCCACGGCTCACGGACGTGCCTCACCGCGTCTCCTGCTCTCTCCACAGATATGGCATCACTCCTTCTACCAGGTGCTCCGCGTCGCCCCGGAGCAGCATCCTCTCGTGGTGACGGAGCCGCCTTTAAACACAATGTCCAACAAAGAGAAGATGTCACAGGTAAGGGGCCACGTGGTGGGCGAGTGGGGTCAGGGAGCAGGCCACGGGGAGGGCAGCTCTGGCCTCCCCTTGAGCCTTGAACCTCGGGGACCCCCTCAGGGCGTCATCCCTTTGCTCAGCGAGATGAAGACACAGGAGAGATCTGTCCCCTTTGACCCTGGCGGCAGGCATGACAGGTGCCTCACCTGACGGGAGAGCTCACCAAGGGGTCACCAAGTGGGTGAGCATTTGGACCTCGCAGCCAGTCTATGGGCGGGGCAGTTACAGTCCCTTTGCACAGAGGAGGAAATCGGAGGGTCTAGGGGTGGAAGTAGACAGGGCAGGTGGCTGGGAGGCCCGCTGGGCCCTCGAGGCCTGACCCTGCGGCCTTGGTCTCTTGGCGCGGTTTGTCCTGCTTGGAGCTCCAACCTGCCTTGAGAGCTCCCACCTTCCCCCTGGGCCTGCCCCCCGGCAGGGAGTTGGTGGTGTGTGTGGATCGGATCGACCAGGCTGAACTGGGTTGAGCTGGTTCTCGGAGGCTGTCAAGGACGGGCCGGGGAAGGAAGGAGAGTGCCCCCCAGCAGAGCCCTCTTAGGGCTGGAGTGAGGTCCAGGTGGGGAGGGGCCGCGGGGCCGCCGCTGGCTGGCCAGGTTCCAGATGCGTCATGAGGCTTTGCCTAATGAGGACGTCCAGGAGCTAATTAAGGAAACAGCAAGGTTCTGCCACCTGGCCCACAGCCCCTAGAGCCCGATGGTGTCCCCTGCAGTGAGCAGTGACCCGAAGGGCAGGCCAGCGGCCCCCAGCACCACCTGCCCATAGAGGAGGCCTGTGCCGTGGCCCAGAAACAGCGCCATCAATCACGGCACGGGCGTGAGCTGCCGCCTCGTTTAACACAAAGCCCCGAGGGGGCCGACGAATCTTCCTCTGCACATGGACAGGTGGATCGCAGAAGTGGGGCACGGCTGGTCTCCACGTGGACACGGCACAGAGCCCACGGCTTTGAAACAGCAGGGATCCAGGCTGAGAGCAGCGTGTGCCCATCAGAGCCCCAGCGAGCTGGAGAGAGAAGAGGCAAGCAGGACTGTCCCTCACCCGAGGGCGATGTGCCGCTTCCAAACTGTCTCAGGGCTCTCTGGAGAAAGAGTGGGACATACACACACACACACACACACACACACACACACACACACAGACGCACACACACACGTGTATATGTAGAAAGAGATCTGTTTTGAGGCATTGGTTCACACGATTATGGAGACTGACAAATGCCAGGATCTGCAGGGCGAGTCAGCAGGCTGGAGCCTTTTGCTCTATTCAGATCTTCAACTGATTGGACGAGGCCCACCTACCGTGGGGAGGGTAATTGGCACTACTCAATCCATCGATTTATGTTAATGTTTATTATCCAATGCCAATATTAATGTTAATGTTATCCAAAAACATCCTCCTCGACAACCTCAGAATAATGATTGGCCAAATGTCTGGGCTCCCCGTGGCCCAGGCAACCCGGACACGTAAAATTAACCCTCACACAAAGCGCTGCGCCGGCCACACGGCCTGTCTCCGGCACTTGTCCACCTCTCCGGGGTCCACTGCCTGTCTTCCTGCCCTGGGTCTCTCTGAATTCACCCCCTAATTATATCAGGGTCCCAGCAGGAAACCAAAGGGACCCTCACGCGGGGTCATTTTGATGAGACTTTACTGAAGAGATTATATACAAAGGCAAGCCTAAATTCTAGAAGAGGGACGTGAACGAGAGCTTTGGGCTGGTATCAGGAAGCTGTTGCCTGCTAAGCCCAACAGAGCCCGGGGGGTTAGTAGCCCTGAAAGGGCCTCTGCCAGGAGCCGCGGCCTCGGAGGGACCGACAACGAAGGAGCAGGGGGATAGCTGTACTTCTCCCCTCACAGCCTCCCTCAGACCTCTCTCCAAGGTCCCCACGGGCGGAACCCAGGGGGTCGCCCACAGAAGGGGGCCCGTGGCTACAGTCCAGGGCAGAGAGTGGTCAAGAAGGATGGAAGCTTCTGCAGGAAGACGGGGGGCAGCCAGCAATGGTGGCCCGCCCCCCGGCACAGGGAACACCACCGCCGTGCGGAAAAGTAGACTTTTCCCCGTCTGTGGGCTCTTCCCTGCAGAGTCCCTCTGTCCCGACGCCAGCCTCCCAGGCTCCTCCCGGAGGCTGGGACAGACTGAGAAGGGCTGGGCTGACTTCTGCCGGAATCAGTCTGTGTGTGAGCAGGATGCCTGGGGCCATGGCCCAGCAGAGAGGCCGATGCGGGGAGCAGCCCGGCGTGTAGGGAAAAGCCCAGCTTGGCCTCGAGACCCGGATTCTGGCCCAGGCTCTCCCAGCACGTGTGACCTGGGGAGGAATACGCATCCTCAAGGTGTCCTGATTTCCCCATCAGAAGGATGGTGATGGTGTCACCCTGGGGGTATCGCGGAAACGAAATGAATCCACGACGCCGTGAGATGCGTGTCACGGGGCTTAGTGGCTGTTGAGCATTCAGTAGATGCTGCTTCCTGTTCCTCGGCCTCGGAATTCTCATCTGCAAAATGGGATTTTGATCGCAGGAACCCAAAGACCCTTCCAAGCTCTGTGACCTCCGGCCTCACCTCAGGCCAGGGGAGCTGAGGTTGGGTTTTGTCTTTGTGCTTTTAGGGGGCGGGGTCTCTAGTGGGATCGCAAAAGCTGCCCGTCCACACCCGCCACTCCTCCACCAGGATGCAAGTTCCGGGGGCACCAGAGAGTAGCACAGACTCCCAGACACTGCCCCCCTGCCCTGTGTCCTCCGAGGTGGTGCCTGTGTCCGGGCCTGGCCTTCCACGTGCCGCGTTACAAACGCACATCCCGGTGGCCTCCACTTGGGGGCCATTGGGAGTAAAGCCGGTGCGAATAGGCGTGAACCAGTCTTTGCAGGGACACACGTTTTCGCTTCTCTTGGGTCAGTCCCCTAAGCCCCCCGGGCGGCTGCCCCCAGACGCATGCTTAGTGACCCCCCCGGGGAGTCACACGCTCAGTGGTGGACCCGGCTCTGTGGAACATCGTTGTCTCCAATGCTGGCTTTACTGGGTTTTGGGGTCTTTGGCTAGAGGCCGGCCGGATCACTCCTCAAGCAGCCTGCACCCCGACCATTCCCCCACTGCTCGCCTGCCCTGCTTGTCCCCACAGCTAGGGACAGCCCCTAGGCCCAGGAGCCCGTGAAATTGTTCAAGGGAGCCAGCCCACAGGGCTCCCTCCAAAGCCAGCTAACCACCCTGCCGGCCGCCCACAAGGTGCTCCCCGACAGCTCCAGCTGGCTGTCATCCTGTCCCCCAGGTGCCACCCTCCCGTGGCTCCGCGGAGGCTGGTTTGGAGCCGCAACAAAGTCTGCCTTTCAACCGTCCGAGTGACCCCGCGTTGGTCCCACCCTCAAAAGAATCTTTAAATTGAGGCGCCTGGGGGGGGGGCTCAGTCGGGGACGCATCTGACTTCAGGTCGGGTCACCATCTTGCAGCTCGTGAGTCTGAGCCTCAAGTCGGGCTCTGAGCCGCCAGTGCGGAGGCTGCTTGGGATTCTCTCTCTCCCTCGCTCTCTGCCCCTCCCCCACTCACGCTTTCTCTCTCTCTCTCTCTCTCTCTCTCGGACTAAATAAACTTAAAAAAAGGACCTTTAAATTCCTGTGGCATCGTCTTGCAGGAAAATCACTCGCTCACTCAGCCAGCGTCACAGAGGCAGTACCTCCTCGCGTCTGGCAGCCCGGGTTCATGTCGCACCCCTGACACCTGCTCCCTAACATGTTTGTCCACTGGTCTCCCATGTGGACAGGAGAGGACGGTGTCACATACCTCCGGGGGGATGCCGCGGGCAGCAGGATCAGGACTGTGTCTCCCCTGTTCATGCCTATGTGCAGGCAGTACCCAGGACAGCGTTCTTGACCAAGCCAAAGGTGAGCTTTTGCTGTCGCCATTATTACAAAACAACGGACCATCCCAGGTCAAAGTGTTGAGATTTGCGTAAGGTCCGCCTACCCCCCAAGAGCAGAAAGGGCGAAGACGTGGAGAGAACAATGGTGGCGCTGGGAAGTCGGCACCGTCCCCGTGGGGATAACACGGTGGTCTGCAAGATGTTGCGATGCCCTCACATCAGTCTCGTGACGGTCTATAAGGTCTCCCCCCGCCATAAGGTCCCCGGGAAGGACGTGAGCCCGTGTCACAGGCTGGGAAACGGTGTCACAGGGCTCATCAGGGCAGAGCTGGGGTCAAGAGTGGCACGCTCCCTGACCCCGTTGCCTGGATCTCTGGGGCAGCCAAGTGCCTCCTACCGGTGGGCTTTGTGAGCCCGGGAGCTAAGGGGAGACCCACCCGCTCCTCCAGCCTCTGGCCTGGCCGTTAGCACGGTAGTGTTCTTGTTCTCCGCAGATCCTGTTTGAGACCTTCAACATGCCCGCCCTGTACGTAGCCAACCTGGGAGTCCTTTCTCTATACGCCTCTGGCCAGACCTCCGGTGAGTGGCCCTGCTCCTAACTCCCCTTGTGTCCCTCCCGGGCCAGCAGTTTGCTTCCACTCAGCGCATGTCCTTCCTCCGCAGCTTTACTGAGGTGGGATTTGTGCCCGGCAAAGTCAGCGTGTCCACGCTGTGCAATGGGATAGGTTCTGACGCGTGGATACGCTCGTGCGGCCATCCGTGCGGTCGAGATGACGAACGTATTCGTTGTTGCTAAACCCTTCCCCTCCACTCCCCATGCTCTGCTCTAGTCTGTCCTCAGATGAGATTGCATTTTCTAGAAATTTGTATAGATGGTTGGGTATAGGGGGCGCCTGGGTGGCTCAGTTGATTAAGCGTCCGACTTCGGCTCAGGCCATGATCTCACCGTCCGTGAGTTCGAGCCCTGCGTCGGGCTCTGTGCTGATGGCTCGGAGCCTGGAGCCCGTTTCCGATTCTGTGTCTCCCTCTCTCTGCCCCTCCCCTGCTCACGCTCTGTCTCTGTCTCTCTCTCTCAAAAATAAATAAACATTAAAAAATTTGTTTTTAAATGTTGTTGGGTATATACCCTTTCTTCAAAGGTTTCAAAGGTTGTTTTTTTGTTTTTTGTTTTTTGTTTTTTTTTTTTTATGCAGCATAACTATTTGGAGAGTAGTTCATTTCTTTTTTTCTCATCAAGCAGTATTCCGTTGTGTGAACTCCCTGTAGTTTGCTTATCTCTTTACCTCCGGATGGACATTTGGGTTGTTTCCAGCTGGGAGCTATTATAAATAAAGCTGCCGTGAACATTTGCCTACAAGTCTTTGCATGGACACACGCTTTCATTCCACTTGGGTAAAAACAGCTAGAAGTGAAACGATGGGGTCAAATGGTAAGTGTATTTTAGCTGAAAAAAAAAAAAATCCGCCAAACTAGCGGCCCAGTGGTTGTGTGCTCCACTGGGATTTCAGCAGCCGCGTGAGCGTGCGGGTTCCCCCCGCAGATTGGCATGGCCAGTTTTTGTCATCGTGGCCCTTGAAGCAGGAGGGCGGTAGTATCTCGCGGCACCATCTGGTGTGCGTATAGATGGCCAGTTGGCCCCGCACCACTTGTTGAAAAGACCCTGTGTTCTTCATTGAATTGCGTCTGTGGATTTCTTCTGGCAAACCAGTTGTCCGTGTACGTGTGGGTCTATTTCTATACTCCGTATTCTGTCCCGTCGATCTACTCGTCCACCTGTGGGCTGATGCCACATTGTGTTGATGTCCAAGTCTTGGAATAAGAAGTTAGTGTGGCAGCTTTTGGTCTCTTGTTTTATAATGTTTTTGTTTTTGTTTTTTTTTTCCGGAGAACATTCCAGGTTCTTTGCATTTCCATATGCATTTCAGGGTCCGTTTGTCAATTTCTATCAAAACAGCGCCTTGGGGCACCTGAGTGGCTTAGGTGGTGACACATCCATCCCCAGCTCAGGCGATGGTCTCATGGTTCGTGAGCTGGAGCCCCGCATCGGGTTCTCTGCTGTCAGCGCGGAGCCTGCTTGGGATCCTCTGTCCCCCCCCCCCACCCGCCCCTCTCCTGCTCTCTCTCACTCTCTCTCTCAAAAATAAATAGACATTGATCAAAACCCAAAGATGCTTTTTTTAGAACTGCATTGGATTTATAGGTCTCTCTGGGGACAACTGATATGTTGACAACGATGTCTTCTAATAAACATAGAGTATCTCCTAAGGGTTCTCTAATTTCTCTGGGCAGCGATTTGTGGTTCACGGTGTAAACATCAGGCAAATCTTTCATCCGATTCATTCCCAAGTGTTTTATATGCTTTGATTGTATCATAAACGGTATCTTTATTTAACTTTCCGATCGTTCAATGCAGGTATACAGAAAACAAGTGTCTTTTGTATAATGATTTGTATCTCGGCACCTTCATTAAACTCTTTTATCGGTGCTGGTAGGATTTTCTACTTAGGCAACGCTGTTGTCTATAGTTTAACTCCTTTATTTCCAAACTGGGTGCTTTTTATTATTTTGTTGTCGTTGTTTTTGTTTTTCCCCTTGCTTCATTGCTCTGGCTAGAACCTCTGGTACAATACTGAGTAGAAATGGAAATGGTGGGAGCAGACATCCGTGGCTTGTTCCTGACCCCAGAGGGAAATCATTCAGTTTTACATTACTAAGTGTGTTGTTAGCTGTAGCTTCTTCATAGACATCCTTTCGAGGGAGTTATCGTGTATTCCTAGTCTGACGAGAGTTTTTTTCTTTTTAAATCACGAATGGATAGTGGATTTTGTCAAATGCATTTTTCTGCCCCTACTGATGTGGTCATGTGGATTTTTCTCTCTTAGTTCTTTAACATGGTGAATTGCACTAATTGATTTCTGAATGTTAAAACAACCTCGCATTCCTGAGATAGAACCAATTTGGTCATGATGAATTAGCCTTTGCCTATATTTGCTAAAACTTTGTTTAGGAGTTTTGGGTCTGTGTTCATGAGGGATCGTGGTCTGCCGTGTTCTTTTCTAGTGACGTCCTGTCTCTCAGGGACCACTGAGACTGTCCTTTGTTGCTTGATGTCCGATATCTTGAGAACTGTTGTTTCCTGTATTTTATTCTCTGTTTTAGGTGTTTCAGGGGTGTGTTGGAGGGACCCCCTCCTTGTTCCATAGCTTACCTGGACACGGAGGTCTTCTTGACCTATTTTTGCTTCATTTCCAATGTGAGGACCTCAGGACGCCTGGGTGGCTCAGGTGGTTAAGCGTCTGACTTCAGCTCAGGTCATGATCTCACGTTCGTGGGTTTGAGCCCCACGTTGGGCTCTGTGCTGACAGCTGGGAGCCTGGAGCCTGGAGCCTGCTTCGGATGCTGTGTCTCCCTCTCTCTCTCTGCCCCTCCCCTGCTCACACTCTCTCTCTTTCTCTCTCTCTCCCTCAAAAATAAATAAACATAAAAAAAAAGTAAATGTGAAGACCTTGGTTACCAGATCCAACATGTGAAAAGAGCCCACCGCCCAGACCCCGGGTCCGCTCTTAATGGCCCCATGTCATGCTTTCTTTCACACAAAGTGAAACCTGTGTCCCCGTGACCACATCACATCTTTTGGACTAGCACAGAGACCTGTACTTTGCCTTGCTAACTAAAAAGTAAACCTCCTTCACTGCACCCAGCCTCGTCTGACAATCGAGTTGTGCCCCCAGTTTTTTAGGGAGAGAGCTATTAAGAGCAGAATATTCTCCCCCTCTTACCCTTTGACAACTGTTGCTAACATCTGTGTGTCTGGTTGAGTAAGAAAATTTGCAGGTGTTCTGTCCAAAACCCTTGGCCCTTGGTCTGCTCCAGATAGGCTTTATCCTAGCACACCCCCCTACAGAAGGAAGTTTATTCCTCAGACCCTTTGCCTTATCTTCTTATTATCTTCTTATCTCTTCCTGGAGACTTGACATTGGTAAGGGATATCATGATGCCAACACGTTCTCTTGTCTAGGAACAGCCATTGAGTCTGGAGAAGGAATGACGTACTTTGTGCCCATCATTGATGGCTGTCCTTTGCATCAGTCAACCATCCAGATGGACATGGCAGGCCAAGACCTAACCTCGTATCTCCTGCAACTATTGACAGGCGGTGGGCCCTCGTTGGTGAGCACAGGTAGGAAATTGCCATTCTTGTCCAGGTGAGCCAATCCCTGGGGTGTAATGTCCTTCTTGGCTGTTCAACCTACAGCCCTCAGTTTATAAAGCTAAGGCTACTTGACCGTGATTCAAGTCTTACAAATAACTTTACCTATGTTTAGGGACACCTAGTGACTGATAATGACAATGGGGATGATGGTGATGAGGATGATGACGAGGATGAGGATGATGGTGATGGTCATGGTGACATGATGACGACGATGGGCTAAGCTTTACGGAATAGTTACTCTGTGTCAGCCACCCAGGAGGTGGGAGGGGTGCGACCTTCCAGATGTTTCCGGGTGAGGGGGCCTGGCTGGCTGGGGCAGCTGTCAGCAGGAGGGGGCAGCCCTGAGCTGTTCGCGACCAACATTCACGGCAGGTGGGGATCGGGGCACCGACAGCAGCCCCTGCTTTAACAGGTGATGAGATCGGGTTTGATCTTCCAGCCCCTGGAAACACACACCCTCCACAGCAGGATAGCAACACGTAACACGCAGGCGGTGTCCAAATGTTTGCACCTCGGTTCGGTGCAACACCCCTGCCCTGCCGTTCTCTCCCACAAGCCCAGGCCCCCGGCATACGTCGCAGATCAAGAGGCGCTGGGATCTGAGATGAAAACGGGAACAGGTGCTATGATTGTGCCGCCTCGTCCCCACCGCGAGGAGCTGAAGCTTCAGGAAGGTGCTCCCTGGGGACAGGCTGCCTCTGTGAACCATCTCAGGCCACGCCCTTCTCTGTCCGGCCCTTGGCCTTTCCCCCCATAGGCGACCGGGAGCACGTCCGGAGCATAAAAGAACAATACTGCTACGTGGCTTTGGACTTTGACAAGGAAAAAGTAAAAACGGACTCGCCTTCCTACGCCCAGAAAGTTCAGCTGCCCGATGGCCAGGAGGTCGCCCTCGGGCAGGAGAAGTTCTTCTGCCCCGAAGCGCTTTTCCAGGCGGACCTCATGGGTGAGTGGTGGGAAGGGGCCAGGGGTGAGCCCGGATGCACACAGTAGGGCCGCTGTACGGGGGACGGAGCCCGGCAGTCACAAGGGGGGGCGCTGTCTTCAGTAGTGAGTAGGTGCCCATTTCTAGTTCCTGTGGGAGCAACTATCACTTATTGAGCACCTACTGTATGCCTGTGACTCTGCCGACCTTTGCACGCGGGCCTGTAGCCTTCAATCCTGCCCCATGTGCCGTGGCTCACGTTGCAGGTGAGGAAACCCAGTGCAGAGCACTGAACACTTGTCAGGTGTGCCTGAGTCCCCGGCTGGACCCCGCACTGCCCTTCCGCTGTCTGACTCCTACTCCGCCTGCCTACACAATAATCTGGAAAATGCAAATGGAGACAAAACAGAAGGGCGAAAACCACAGATTCTGAGGGAACCGGAAACATTTTGGCTGATGTAGAGATTTTTTTTTTTTTTTTTTAAAGTTCCAGCACAGGTAACACAGTGTGGTATTAGTTCCAGGTGCACGAGTTAGTGAGCGATCGTTTTTGCTTCGGGCCACAACCCCCCAGCTCCATCCACGTTGCCGCGGATGGCAAGATCTCATACTTCTTTGTGGCTGAGGAATATTCCCATGCGTGTATACCGCCTGTCCTTGGCGGGACTGTGGACAACAGCCAGACTATGGGAGCAGCCCCAGTGACCTCGCGGTCCTAGAGGGGTACTGAGTCGGCTAAGCTCCCTGGCAGGCATGGCAGAACAGGAACGATGGGATGGACTGTAAGATTCCTTGATGGGGAAGGTTTCCAGGTCGTCACGGAAAACCAGCCGTCTCCTGGAATCCGTTGGTGAAAATAATTGTTTGCATTTATGAGGGACGGAGGGGAACGAGAGGGACAAAAGCACTTCCCCAGGATTAGTACCTCGTCAGGATGTGGCTTTTACATGTGGCGCGGGCGAGCTGAGTTTACCTCTGCTCTCCTCATTGGAGTTTGCGGGGGATAAAGGCTTCAAACATGGCCCATGCCCCCCGAAATATTAAGTTGGATAAAGGAAACCATCGTCGGATGAATTTTCTCGCCCACAACGTGACCCTTCTCCTCCGCATCTGGGGGGACCTCAGTGAGCGTGAACACGGCCAACCCCGTGATGAGAGCCGAGCATCGGCGGCCCGCGTTCACGTTCATCGGGCCAGGCACGTTCTCGATGATTCTGGGAAATCAGCCTTTTCATTCTTTATCCCAAGGCTGTGCGGTAGGTCCTATCCCAGGTGAGGAGAGGGAGTAACCGTCAGGCACCCCCGGCCACCCCTCCCAGAAGCTCCCAGTGCTGAACACACCGGAATACACGCCCTTGTCCTTGAGGGCTGTTCTCTGCATACTTGTGTTTATGTCTATGGACTAATGATGAGTCAAGAAGATGTCAGCTAGACGTATTGTGGCGATCGTTGTGCAATATATACAAATAATGAATCATTAAGTCGTACGCCTGAAACGAATATAATGTATGCCAATTACACCTCAATAAAACATAATTTCTTTTTTTAAAAAAGGAATCATCAGTATAATTTTTCAAAGGCCACCCGAGCAAGGACGTTGCCTCTGCAGAAATCTGTTCAGAAAGTAATAGGCCGTGGCATTAAAGGTTAATAATTGTCAGTAACATCTGAATATAAGTCATCTCAGATGAGAGAGGAGAAGTAATATTTGTGTATTCAGCCGTCAGCCGTTGAGCCCCACACATAAGGGCCCTGTGGTCGGTGGTGCTGATGTTTGCCCACTGCCCTCGGAGCTGAGATCCGGGGGGAGCCCGTGACCCCCGCCCCCCCCCCCCCCCGTGCTTGCAGGGGGGAGGAGAGATCCCAAGAGTGAAGCCGGCCGAGTCTCTGGCCCCCAAACTTCTGTCTCTTTCCGCCCGTCCCGACAGGGAGAAACGACCCGGGCATCCATATGAAGGCCTTCCAGAGCATCAGCTCCTGCAGCCCCGCCCTCTGGAAGATTCTCTTCGGCCACATTGTCTTGTCTGGAGGTACCGGCTCCTGTTCCGGCCTGCGGTTCCGGATGCAGAGAGAAATATCCACCCTGGTTTCCCCTACAATTAACGTGAAGGTACAGTCCCCCTGATCCACCCTTTGGGGGCTTCCTGCGTTCATCCCACGGATATTTCTGGAATAACAGGGTTTCTGGTGTGCCAGGCACGTTGTCAGGTGCTCGGGGAAGCATCAGTAAACAGAAGTGTGGAAGATCCTCAGCGCTTACGTTCCAGGGGCGTGGGGGGAGCCATAAACAACACGAATCCAGACAGTACAGGATAAATGTGTTAGGAGGGGCTATAAGTCACAGGGGAAGCCACGGAGGAAGCAGGGGTGAGTAGTCAGGGTGGGTCTCCTCTGGAAGGAGCAGGGGAGCCACGGGGATATCTGAGGAAGCGCAGAGGGAACAGCCCCTGGGGCGGCCCAGAGGCGTGCTTCCGGAAGGAAGGGCTGGGAGGGGCTGGCCAGGGCTGAGACAGGAGAAGGGCTGTGTGAGGCTTGTACCCAGAGGACGGGGAGGTTTGAGCAGAGCCAGGCTGGACGGCGGACTTTGGGGGCGGGGCGCAGACTGTCAGGTGCAGGTGTCGGGTGGGCCGGGGATGTAGGGGTGAGGGGCGAGGGTCACCAGGGAGGAGGCAGCCTGAACGGCCATCCCTGCGGTGGGGTGCGTGGCTCGGGGAGGTAAGTGGCGCTCTGGTGCCAGTCGGAGAGCAGACCAAGGATGGTACAGAGTTTGGAGCTGGGACGGGGGCTCTGGCGTGGTCTTTGGCGGAGGTGAGGTGCTCCGCGAGCCCAGGGAGGGTGTAGATGGGAGGAGGACGGGCTCAGGCAGCGGGGGGAGAGGCAGGCCCGAAGCCCGTCCCCCGTTCGAGGAGGCCCGTCACCCCGCCCGGCCCCGGCCTTGCACTGGCTTCCCCCGCCGTCTTGGCAGGCCTGTAAAAGTGCGACATATATACTCAGCTTTAAGTTAGTGGCCTCTGCCTTTTAGACGAGTGTTAGCTTTACGGAGAACGGAGTAGAAAGGGGACAGTTCTCCGCACTCCCCGCCTCGGCCCATCGCACACACATCTAGCTCGAGCGTGATGCGTCTGTCGCCCAGAAGAACCGGCATCGGTGTCTCACTACCGACCCGAGTCCCCGGCTCACGGAAGGCTCCTCCCGGGCTCGCGCGCTCTGCCGGTTTGGGGGGACGTGTGGTGGCGGGTGACCACCCCGACGGTCTGACGGGGTCGCTCCCTGCCCTGGGGCTCCCGTGCCCGCCTGGTCGCCCCGCCCCTGCCCCCGCCCCCGGCGGCCACTGGCCCTCTCCAGGTCGGTCCCCAGGTTGTCCCTTCCCCAGAATGTCCTGGTCAGACTGACTTCTCTTTGGCCCCGGTTTTCACAACTGCTTTTCTTTTTTTCTCCCTATGGAAGTGGCTCGCGGTCATGGCAGAAAGCCTACAAGTAAGGTCCAGGTAAGGGGTCGGGAACTTCCGGCCCCCTTAGCACAGGGCAGAATGTACCTTGCTGACTGTGTCTCTAACTCGACCGAGCCAGCTCGGGTACAAGCCCAGCCTGGCTGGCCGAGGCTGGAGGGACAGACCCACCCACGCCATGTGGGTTAAATAAAGGCCTCCTTCCCCCTCGGCCACCCTGGGCCGCCTCCGCTGAGCTGTCCTCGTGCAGCCTGCTCTTTGCTTGCTTCTGGCCTCGCGGCCTCTGCTGCTACGCGGTGTCCCATGTCAGCCGGGCCTCAGGCAGGCCGCGGGCCCCCCCGACCTGCCGCGCGGGGGGCCCCCACAACGGGCTCCTACGTTGCGGCTCTCGGGAGCCCCTGCCGGAGACGCCAGCCCCCTCGTGTCCCGAGGCCCCCGCTCACCGCTACCCTTTGCACCCCCCTGCCAGGTCAAGGTACGGGCACTCGGCACACCGCGTGGGCAGGGGCTGAGCCGCTACGTCCCCGCAGACCCACGGGCTCTGCCGCCAGCACACCCGCCAGGGTCCAGAGGCGGGAAGTGTGGACGGACTGAGTCCCTCTGTCCCTGAGCTCCCCAGCAGCCACCTCGTGCCTCAGCCCGGCTTTCAGGCCTGCTGGCAGGTGGGGCGCTCTGAGAGAACTTTCTGGCTCAGTTCTCAGTGTCTTCTGCTACCTGCCCAGAGCCCCACCTGCCCCCTGGCCTACCTGCTCCCCTCCCTCCCTCCTTCCCCAGCCGGACTTGGTGGTGGCCAGACTATGGTGGCCAGACTTGGTGGCCAGACTTTGGTGGCCGGACTATGGTGGCCGGACTTGGTGGCCAGACTTTGGTGGCTGGACTATGGTGGCTGGACTTGGTGGCCAGACTTTGGTGGCCGGACTACGGTGGCCGGACTTGGTGGCCAGACTTTGGTGGCCGGACTTGGTGGCCGGACTTTGGTGGCCGGACTTGGTGGCCAGACTTTGGTGGCCGGACTTGGTGGTGGCCAGACTTGGTGGCCAGACTTTGGTGGCCAGACTATGGTGGCCGGGCTTGGTGGCCAGACTTTGGTGGCCAGACTATGGTGGCCGGACTTGGTGGCCAGACTTTGGTGGCCGGACTTGGTGGCCAGACTTGGTGGGCCACGGTGACATTGAAAGTGAGTGCAGGGCGGCCATCCGTGATTTGGGCAGCGTGGGTCCATCCTCCCTCCCCGCCCCTGCCACCGGCCGGCAGTCACTGGGACAACAGAGAAGATTCGCGAATTCCCAGGAAAGGCAAACCCGGAGACACACAAGGTCTCCCACATCAGAGCCCTGTTTGTACGCATGTCATAGAATGCGCAGGAGGGCGGGACGCTGTGACCCGCCCATCCCTTCCATTGCTTCCTCACCACGAAATAGTAGCTGTCGCCCACACAGGGTTCCTGAGTCAGCAGTCGGCCTCCACGATTGCGTGCTCAGTGCCGTCCGTGGCCTCGGGGAGTTGGCACGGGCCTGCCTCCTCCCTGCGGATGCCTGCGGCCCCATTATTTCATCTTACCCGCCGTCCCAGACCTTGGCCCCTCGGGCCCTCGTGCGAGGCCCCGCGCCCTTCACGCGCCGGCTCTCGGGGGCACTCAGCGTCAGCGCCGTGGCCTGCAGTGAGGTCACAAAATCAGAAGGGACGGCACAACTTAGTCCCGAATGGAAGTCAGGGGCGTGTGTCCTCCTGCCTCCGTGCACTGTGCCCCGACCACTCCCGCAGTGGGAATCTGTCCAGCCGTCGGCTTTGTCCCGCCCTGCTGGCGGCCGAGCTGACGTGTGGACCAACCTTTTCTGCCCACCCCTCTTCTGAGTCCCCAGGGAAGCCCTCCAGCCCCCCAAAACTCCTCCATATGAAGCTCGAAGGTGCACCTGTCTCCCTTCACTGCCGCCGCCTGATGCCCTCCCGTCTGGACTGTCCCTGGAAGGGAGGGGGTGCAGTGCACTTAACCTCCACGGCGCCCCCCCGGTCCTTCCTCTGAAGGGGGAGAACCGCTTCTGAGAGCCGCTGGTTCCCACGGGCCAGCCTTCAAAAACGATCCTTCCTCCCGACAACCCAAATCCTGCCCCAACAGGATTCTTGGGATAAAGCTCTGGTCACCATTTACCCTTATTTCTTTACAATTTTTTTTTTCTGCCTTAGAATCCACGTCTACACATGGATTTCCTGAGCCAGAAACGTGTGCTCGGCGTCAGGCTACTTGAACAGATGGCCAGATTGTGCCCGGGAGCCGCCGGCCCCCGGGCCGGTCGGCACAGGGGGACAGAGGCTCGCGCCCGTCCGCTCGGGCACGGGGACGTCGGTTGCTTTTCTATGCTTTTCTTTGCTTTTGCCTTTTTGGGAACTGAAGGGTGGCTGACACACGACGTCACGTTAGCTTCAGGGGTGAGACCCAGCGGGTACGTTGTGCTCACTGCGGGTGTGGGGGGCACCCGCCACCAGGCAGCCCGATGACAGTGCCACGGTGGCCGAGTTCACCTGTGCCTTCCCCCACCGGAAGCCCATGCCTCCCACCCCCCTTCACCCCTTCTGCACGAGGCCCTGGTTTTAAAGCTCTTCCAACTGGCCGGATGGAAAGCCCACGGTGGCTCTCATTCGCGTTTCTTTAATTCCTGCTGAAGGTGAGAACTTCTGCGGGTCTCCTTGCTGTCGGGAGTTTTTCCTCTTAATTTTCTTTTTTATATCATTTTTAAAAAATGTTTTATTTTCTTTTTGAGACAGACAGAGACAGGGAGTGAGCAGGGGAGGGGCAGAGAGGGAGGGAGACACAGAATCCGAAGCAGGCTCCGGGCTCCGAGCCGTCAGCGCAGAGCCCGACGCGGGGCTCGAACTCACGGACCGTGAGATCACGAGCTGAGCCGACGTCGGATGCTTAGCCAACTGAGCCACCCAGGCGCCCCCTCTTTATTTTCTTTTCTAAACTTTCTTTAAACCTTTTGCTTATGTCAAGCCTTTGGCCGTTTTTCTGTTGGTAGTTTTGCGTTCTTCTGAACGCGTGAACCGTCCCAGTTTTGGGCACGCTTTTGTTTGCTTTTGCGTGTGTTCAGAGAAGATGCAGAGGTCACAGGTGACTCTTCCCAGTGACAGCCTGTGGGTGGCAGCAAAGACAGGCAGAGGATGTGGGTGCCTGGGACTGACTGTCTCCTCTCTGCCTGATGCCTGGCCCTGAAGGTGCTCTGTTCCCCGCTCCTGACTCACCATTTCGGCAGCGTTTTTTCTCTTAACCAACAGCAGCCGATGTTTTCGCCCCAGGCAGGGTTCTGTGGTGTGACAGAGCCGGTGAGGGACGGTAACTGACTCTGGTGACTCATCCTCCCTCACCCCACTGCCACCCGGACTTTCCAAGTCCTCGCCCCAGATCCCCTTTCCCCGCGGATCCCTGTAGCCGTGCGTTTGCCTTCTCGTTTTACAAAAACAAGGCTGTCCTCTCCTGATGTGTCCATGGGCGTCAAGGAAAGGCAGTGAACGTGTCAGGATGACAACTGTCTGACCTTGCGCAGGTGACTCGAACCTTGCAGAGCAGTGGTCCCCCCCTGGCGATGGGAGCACGGATGTCTGGCTCCTCCCAGCCCAGAAGTGCCCTGACCTGGCTCGGAGGCTGCCCCCTCTCCGAATCCAAGGTGCGGGGAACGCACATGGGGGCAGGTGTCGATGCGGGGGTCAGAGCGAGGCACGGTGCAAGTCTCCAGGTCTGTGCACCCCAACGTTCAAGGGGTTTCTCGAGGTTGTTTGTGACTCTTGTTTGCTTATCCGTATTTTCTAATTTTTCTGCAAAACACCCACGCCTCCCACATGGACTTTAACCAACTCGGAGATGTGCCGTAGATCTCAGAGTGAGTCTCAGAGCCAAGGGTGACTCCTTCCCGCTCTTGCTCCTTTTGTCCCGTGGTTTGAAGCTACGGGCAGTCGGCACGTGCACCGACAAGCACCTGTAAAGGTTGGAATGCATTGCATTTGCACGGAGGGAAGAAATGACCATCCGTGAGGTGTGTTCAGGGCGTTTATGTCTCGAATTTGGAGTAGTGTTTTGATTCCGGCTTCTTCCTCTCCCTCCTCTGACCCCTCCACCCCTGCCTCGCCCCCCTCCCCTCCCCTCTCTCTGCCTCCTCCACCCTATCCAGGTATCCACCTGCCCCAACTCCACGTACGGCGCCTGGGTCGGGGGTTCCATCCTGTGCTCGCTTTCCACCTTCAAGGACATGTGGGTCACCAGCCAGGAGTATAAGGACATCGGTTCCTCTGTCATCAGCAGGAGAAGCTTCTGCTTCGTGGCTTTGTGGATGCCATCTTCTGGCCCACCGATGCCAACTCCACCTTGGCCGGGCTGATCAGTGCTGAGAACCAGCTCGAACGTGAGGGTGGCCAGTCCTCCCCGGACTTCCATCAACCTGGTCAAAAGAGGACAGACAGTCTGGGCAAGGCTGGCAACATCTTGGGAAACGCTCACGGGCAGTCGCTTTGTTGATGCAAGGTGACGAAGGGGAGGGGATTTCCGCCGACCCCCGGGGATTGGTCAGCATGGCTGAATGTGTGGCAGCAAGGGACATCCCCCCGGCTCAGTGCCATAAACAAAAGTCTGTTTCCCACTCACGCTGCATGTCCGTTGAAGGCCAGCGGGGCTCTTTCCTAGATTGTCCCCACGGCAGAATCTGACCCACAGAGCAGACCCTGTCTGGAACGTTGTCATTTACTGGGGGTGAGGACAAGAGTGCCCGGTGGGCCTTTCACTGACAATGAAACACTCCAGCCGGACAGGGACACAGGGCACATCTGCCCACAGTTAATTATCCGGAACAAGTCACACGGCCCCCAAGCACCACAGGGGCTGGGAAGTGCCATCCTTCTGCAGACGTGACACCCCAAATGGGAAGGATAAAGCACGTGCTCTGGTTCAGGAGGGCACCGTTGGGGCGGCAAGGGGCCTGGTGTCCTTCTGGTGGCTTTAATCCTCATGCCCGGCTGTGAGATTGGTTTATTAAGGCTGGTTTCGTGATTCAGGAACTGAAGCTAACAGAAGCTAATTCACTTGGTGAAGGTCATTACACGATGACTAGGAGTTCAAATCTGTGGATAAACCTTGTAGGGGTGCAGAGGGTGAGCATTGCAGGGGAGAAGGAACCACAGACAGTGCAGAAGCATTTCCCCCGCTGAAGACACGTTTCCCATGTGGACAGAGCCCTGGGAGAGTCCCACACACAGACGCTGCCTGATGACACTTCCGAGCATGGAAGGCAATAAATAAACTCTAGAGGTAGTGAGAGAAAACAGCAGCAAAGAATCTGGTGAAGAAATGGGCAAAAGACATGAACAGACACTTTTCCGAAGAAGACAACCAGATGCCCAGCAGACACATGAAAAGATGCTCCACATCCCTCATCATCAGGGAAATACAAATCAAAACCACACTGAGATACCACCTGACACCTGTCAGAATGGCTCACATTGACAACTCAGGCAACGACAGATGATGGCGAGGATGCCGAGAGAGAGGATATCTTTTGCATTCTTGGCGGGAATGCAAACTGGTGCAGCCACTCTGGAGAACGGTATGGAGGTTCCTCAAAAAATTAAAAATAGAACTACCCTCTGACCCGGCAATTGCATTACTAGGTACTTATCCAAGGGATACGGGTGTGCTGTTTCAAAGGGACACATGCAACCCAATGTTTACAGCAGCACTATCGACAATAGCCAAAGTACGGAAAGAGCCCAAATGTCCATCGATGGATGAATGGATCAAGAAGATGTGGTACACACACACACACACACACACACACACACATAAGAATACTACTCAGCGATGAAAAAGAATGAAATCTTGCCATTTGTGACAACATGGATGGAACTAGGGGGTATGATGCTAAGTGAAATTAGTCAGAGGAAGACAGATCTCTTATGATTTCACTCATGTGGAATTTGAGAAACAAAACAGTCGAACATAAGGGAAGGGAAGCACAAATAAGACAAAGGCAGAGAGGGAGGCAAACCATGAAAGACTCTTAAATACAGAGAGCACATTGAGGGATGCTGGTGGGGCTTTGGGTGGGGGGATGGGCTAAGTAAGTGACGGGCACTGAGGAGGGCACTTGGGATGAGCACTGGGTGTCATCACGTAAGTGATGAACCACTAAATTCTATTCCTGAAACCACTATTACACGATATGGTAGCTACCTTGGCTTTAAATTTTTTAAAATGGGGGGAAAAAAGCAAGCAGGTAAACTCTAAAGTACCGCTGCCAGGAAAAATCCAGGATGCCAGCTACGTATGACTTTCAGAAGTACAACCACCAGCATCTAGAAGAAGCACGTCCCAAACATTGCACGTGGTTTTATTTGCTAAATCTGGCAAGTGTACTGGGAAAGAAAGAGGTCCAAGTGCATCCACACTCCTACCTGCAAAGCAGGTGCCGGAAGAGGAAAAGCTGAAGGACATTTCCCACCTCGTCCAACCGGGCTTGAGATGTTGGAAGGAGATACTCTGGCGGCAAAGACCCAGAAAATTTGCCACCCCCCTCCGCAGATGCGCACAGCCACGCAGGACCTCCTCCCCACTCCGGGCAGTGGTGCTTGAAGGTATAAATCAGGGTACTTGTCAGGTAGTAAGCCCTTACGGAACACTTTTCTTACTTGTGAGCGGATGACTAAATCTAAAGCGGCGCGAGGCAGACGGGCCACTGCCCTTTTTCATATTCTGACTTTTGTACCATATGCATCAAACTTTAAAACATCACTTGAGGGGGCGCCCTGGGGGGGGTGGCTCATGGGTTAAGGGTCTGACTTCAGCCCAGGTCACAATCTCGCGGTCCGTGGGTTCGAGCCCTGCGTCGGGCTCTGTGCTGACGGCTCGGAGCCTGGAGCCCGCTTTGGATTCTGTGTCTCCCTCTCTCTCCGCCCCTCCTCCACTCATGCTGTGTCTCTCTCTGTCTCTCAAATATAAATAAAAGTTAAAAAACTAAAAAAAAGTATCACTTTAAATAACTTGGGGGTAACCAATGGGAGATAACAGTGAATAGCACATTTGTGACATGAATTTACAAAGGAAAGCTGGAAAGGGACACACCAGGGCATGGGGACAAAATAAGCAGATGTCGAATAAAACCCAAGCAAAATCACTAGAAGAATCACATATTTCACTTACGAAGGGTGAGGAGCAGCCGTATTTGAGATGTAAATCTTTTTACCTCTTTCGGTGCATGTAGCTTCAAGGCTCAGCAAGTGAAGGGGATGGGATCTAGAATACCCCAAGAACATCTCGATCTAGAATACGCCAAGAACATCTCGATCTAGAATACGCCAAGAGCTTCTCAATCTAGAATATGCCAAGGGCTTCTAGATCTAGAATATGCCAAGGGCTTCTCGATCTAGAATACGCCAAGGGCTTCTCGATCTAGAATATGCCAAGAACATCTTGATCTAGAATACGCCAAGAGCTTCTCGATCTAGAATACTCCAAGAGCTTCTCAATCTAGAATACGCCAAGAGCTTCTCGATCTAGAATACGCCAAGAACATCTCGATCTAGAATACGCCAAGAGCTTCTCGATCTAGAATACGCCAAGGGCTTCTAGATCTAGAATACGCCAAGGGCTTCTCGATCTAGAATATGCCAAGAGCTTCTCAATCTAGAATACGCCAAGAACATCTTGATCTAGAATACGCCAAGAGCTTCTCGATCTAGAATACTCCAAGAGCTTCTCGATCTAGAATACGCCAAGAACATCTTGATCTAGAATACGCCAAGAGCTTCTTGATCTAGAATACGCCAAGAGCTTCTCGATCTAGAATACGCCAAGAGCTTCTCGATCTAGAATACGCCAAGAACATCTCCCATTCGGGATTAACACACCCCTGATCTCAGCGTTCATGTGTGTCCCCGTGAGTGACCATGCCGTTCTCCCAGCTGCTCAGCCAGAACCTCTACAGTAATTCTTTATTTTATTTTATTTTTTTAGTTTACTTATTTATCTGGAAAGAGAGAGACAGAGAGCCCGAGTGGGGGAGGGGCAGAGAGTGAGGGAGAGAGAGGATTCCAAGCAGGCTCCGAACTCTCGGTGCGGCACCCCACGCGGGGCTCGGACTCATGAACCATGAGATCATGACCTGAGCCAAGACCAAGAGTCGGACATGCCACCGACTGAGTCCCCCAGGCACCCCCTGCACCCCTGAAGTCATTGTTGATGCTTCACGTCCACAGCCCACATAAAAGATTGGCAAATTCTGTCGATTCTACCCGCTAACAACATCCAGAGTCCAAGTACGTCCCACATGCCGCTGCTCTCCGAGAGGCCATGCCTCCACCGCCTCCTCTGGGCTTGGCGACAAGCTGCCCCCTCCCACCCAGCGGCCCGTGCGGTCGTTGGGACACAGGTGCCATCACGGCACTCGTGGCTTAGGAGACACTCACTGCAGCCTCACCGACACACCTCCCAGCCACCAAGATGGTTATTAGAAAACAAAAACCCCAGGAAACAAGCGTTGGCGACAGCATGGGCAAGTCGGACACTTCGTGCACAGAATCACCACGTGAGCAGCTGTCCTGCCTCTGGTGCTTCCCCGGAGGCACCGCAAGCAGGGAAACGTGTGCACACGGCCTCCACACCGCCCGTGTCCATCGCCTGTGGATGGGGTCCATCCACACAAGGCAATAGTAGTGAAGCCCCAGCGAGGACATTCTGGCACCTGCTTACAGCCCTGGGGACATGACGCTGAGGGAACCGGGCCAGTCACAAGGGCGCAGATGCTGCGAGATCCCACTCCTGTGAGGTCCGTGGAGTCGTCAGACCTGTAGAGACAGACACTGGATGGGCGCTGGGGCGGGGGGAGGTGTCGTGGGAACAGAAGTTCAGTCGGGGACGATGGGCAGCTCTAGAGACATGTTGGTGACGGTTGCGAAATAACGGGAACGCACCTCATGCAGGTGAGCCGGGCACTTAGACACGGTTAAGACGGTAAAATCTGTGCTGTGTATATTTTATCACAATAAACAAAACAGTCCCCCGTGGCCCCTCATCCCACAAGGAGACATACGGTCTCAACTGGGTCTTTGCCTATGTGACCTGCCCGGCTGCCGCCTCTGTGATGTCATGCTCCCTGCACTGTCCCCCTCACTCCCCTGCTCTGCACGCTGCTCTGACTCACTCCCAACCCGGGGCCTTTGCACGTGCCAGTCCTGCTGCCTGGGACACGGGGACCCCAGACAGCTGCTTGCCGACTGGCTTCCTCACGGTGCTCAAGTCTGTACTGAAACTTTCTTTGGTACGGGGCCTTCCCTGACCGTACGGCCCTACCCCCCACCACTCTGCCCTACTCGCCCCTGGGAGCTCCTATCACCCCCACCTAGTGTCTGTCTGTGAATCGTCTGTCCGCAGCCGGACCGCCCGCTCTGCCGGGGCAGGGACTTAGTTCCCTGCTGAGTCTTGGCACACTGTCCCCCAAGACGGTCAGCAGGTACTTGGTGAACAAATGAATGAGTGAAGGAATGACAGAGATGAACAGAAGGGAGAAACACAGGTCGTTGAGAACATCGTGGATCGGTGTGCAAACTCACGGGGAGATTTCTTCGGAATCGGGTGGACTGTAGACTCCACCGGCTTCGGGGAACAAGGGGAACGTGAGAAAGCTATTGCTCGACACCTGCCAAGTGGAGAGGCACGCCCGCGTCTCTGGGGCGGCTTGTGGGGGGCCGGGCCCCCTCGCTCACTGCTGGGGGCACGTCCCGTCGGCAGGGCTCTGGGGGGCGCTTTAATTGCGATCCCTCCTCCCGTATTCTAGTTCGTCTTCTCACCGGACGAGGTTCTGTTCCCGTACGAGACCCTTCAGCGAGGGCCTGCTGGCGACAAACTCTGATGTCTGTCTGACAATGTGCATATTTGGCCCACCCTTAAAAAAGAATCTTCACTAACAGCTCACGTGCCGTGAAAGCGTCCCACTTACAGTGTGTAACCCGGTGGTGTTTGACGTGTTCACGGAACTTGTCACCAGCACCGCTGTGATGAACCCGGAAAGAACCCGGTCGCCACGAGCCCTCACTCTAACCGCCCTCCCCTACCTCCCGTCTCTGTGGATCTTCGTCTCACAGACATTTTTATATAAGTAGAATCACGCGGCCCATGGCCTTCGGGGACTGGCTCCTCTCACCGAGTGTGTCTTCAAGGTCCATCCATGTGGTGCGAAGATCAGCAATGGTTTCCCTGTTACTGCTGAATGACGCCCCCTTGCACGGAGGGACCCCATTTTGTTTGTCCGTTCGCTTTTTGACGCTCACTGCTTCCAGGGTAGACGCATAAGCTCCCTCCCCGCGGGCTAGACCGGATCGACCTTCGGCTGACCTTGGGTGCCGTGGGGTGAAGATGGCTGGAGGCCGGGTCCCAGAAT